CCCTGCCTCCGTGCTGTGACCTGCCACTCGATAATCTCAGACCACATGAGTTGGGTTCCAAAAACCATTTAATGAGGTTATATGCTCCAGTTCGCTTGCAGGCCACCTCGCTTCAGAGGTATTATTCAAACTTTGATGTGGGACAACGATGCTCACGTTTTCCGGTCCAAAGTGCAAACTCTTTGCAAAAGGACCAGTGGAAGTGGTTTCTCTAGCGAAAAGTGAGTCAGGCTTTTACAGCGATTACTTCCTCATTCCAAAGAAAAATGTCGGGCTCAGGCCTATTCTCCGTTTCAAGCATCTGAACCATTCGCTTATGAAATAACCATTCAAGAGGTTGACGTTGAAGTAGATCCTTGCGTAAATATGCCCCACGGACTGGTTTTTATTAGTGGATCTGAAAGACGCTTACGTTTACATCCAGATAGCCCCTCATCACAGACCGTTCTTGAGATCCACATTCGAGGGGGTGGTCTACCATTCGGACTGTCTCTTGCCTCGCACACTTTTACGAAGTGCATGAACACGACTCTTACCACCCTTGAATTAAACGATACCATTGAGGACAAACCTCCTCTCTCAAACGAGAGGAATGATTTGGCATCCCCAGCCAGAGCTGTGGAGCCTTCATGTTTGGCCCCTCGACAGGAGTCATTACAGCTCGCCGCGAGTGTGACTAATACCATTTTTGAGGCTAGAGCCTCGTCTACGAGATGCCTCTATGCCCTTAAATTGTCTTTTCTGGCTTGTGTGCAGCATGGAATGAGGACCCAACAATTGTAGAGTCGTCCTCAAACCAAGACACGGCTAAGTGCCTAAAGTGCTCTCCATTCTGTTCAGAGCACAAGCCATCACCCTTCTAGCTCTTCCCAATTCAGAGGATGAGCAGGGTTCCAATCCATTTCTATCAGTGATATTTGTGTGACCGCCAGCTGGTTGTCACCATCTACCTTCACCAGGTTTTATAACTTTTCCTCCAGGCATGGATTTTGTCCACTTAAGTTTACCTAATCCCCTCTGTAAGTGGAGAAGGTTTTGTTATGTAGTCAAGATCTTTAGGATTACTAGAAAGCTACAGGCAGGCAGTTTGATGAAGGTTGACTCTTCCCGAAAATGGACATTAAAGGCCAGAGTTGAGAACATGTAACATGTAAATAATGTTGCTATCTACCATCATGACTGTGCCTGTGCCTTAAAGCAACACCATGTAACTTTTTTCTCATGGTTCCCCCATGTAGTTGATAAGCGCAATTGTTTGTTACCAGTGTCGTAAATACTGTTGCTGTATAAGCTTGCCCGTGGGCATCGCAATACACCTGAATTTGTTGACTAAGGTCCCCCTGTCCAAGAACCGGCGAATGGAAAACCTTGTTTTGAAACCATGTCCACTGACCAGGTAAAGTAGCCCGTGTTACACTATGTTCTACAAATATCACTAAAAAATTTGTATGCATTGTTACTCCAGAATTGAAAACTACAATGACAAAAAGAACGGTAGCATGTTTGCCTAGTTTTTTTGCTCGAAGGATGTAATTTGTATAATAGAATAAAATGTTGTCCGCATAATCATGTAGCCATAATGTCCATAATAGCCTATACGTCGGACATTGTCATAAGTTTATAAGGATGTAATGTAACAAGAGCCTCTTTATTTGAATAACCATTCAGACGTGAAGTAGATTGGGGAATTAGTTTTTGAATCTTGGGTGTCTAAAAAGACATGGTACACATGGTACAGCTCGCGCCACCGAGTGTAAGCCTGTCCGATATTGATTCGTGTTCAGGCTCGTGTCCGATCGCTCTCTCTCTCTTTCTTTTCTTCGCTTCCTCTGACAATTCCCTTTTTGGTTTATTTGCTGACTCTGCCATGGCTTTGGTTTTGAGACTTGCATATTAGATAGTTTCGTCTTGTAGTTAGCTGTTGGCTAACTCCACCCAGGCTACGAGTAAAATATGTGACGTATGCTGTAAGCAGGTCACACTCTTCCGCTGGTAGGGGATGTGTGTACCGACCCGAACACGAAACTTACAGAGTGTGGTTCTAGCGGCTAGGAGGCTGCTCAGGTAGCAGCGGTAATAGATTTTGTCCCGTTAAGAGGTGTTCTACCACTGAAATAATTTTAGATACATTATTTTAAGGTAAAAAAACTACATAGTGTTGCTTTAAAACACTTTGTGATCATTGTTTGGTTGGCAACTCATTCCTTTAAAGCTAGTGCTCACAAATTAATAGTTGATTGTTCTACCCTAACCACATTTTGTCTACCCCATGTTGTAATCCCTAACATGCTAATTAATCCATTTGAAATGAATCCCAAAATCATTCCTTTCTCAGCTATTAGTCAAGTCAAGCAAACCTGCATTTTTTGCTTTCTCCCATCATATGTGAGTGAATCCCAGCCCCTCCCCCCTAAATTCACCCATGTCACTTTCACGGGGAAAAAAAGGCTGCTATGGCAACAAGAACCCTCCCTTTCTCATGGGTCTCCTTAGCAACTGGTCGCTTAGTAGTATAGCTCCAAGTGTGCCCAGTGTGGCAAGCTTGCATATGAGTGTGGGTTATTACTCTGCATAGTGTGACTGGGGCATGGCATACAGCCTGAATGTGGCCTTTAAAGTTCAAGTTCAAGTTTAAAGTGTCTGAGCTTGATTTATTTATGGGACGGCTGACTTTAAAATGAGAGCTGACAATGTCCACATGGACAGGGGGACCTCATTCATATTAGTGGGTGTTCATATGTAAAATGTACACATGCAGTGTTGTATGTTTGAATAGACACAAAATCTGCATTCCGGCAGGATCTAAAATGTAAACACGTTTATGTATATACAACTTTAGATATGTATAAATCTTTATGAATCTTCAGAACTGAAATCACCAGAAGCTAGGTTACTACTGATTGTAACCAAGTTCAGTACTCAAACACAATCTCTTTATCAAACCTTGTCTGAGAAAGATATTTTTAATGGCAAATTTAGTCTTAAAGGTCAGTTAAAAAAAAATCTGTTAATATATCAGTTCTTACCATTCTTACAATTTACCCAAAATGTATAGATGAAATTCTGATTAGAAAGACAAAAAATGTTAAATTACCAAACAAATTTAAAAATTAAAGTAACACTGTCAATGTTACAGTTTAACAGATTTACAGTCTTTATAAATCACTGAACAGAATGAAGCCATTATAATGTCAAAGTTCAATTTCATTAATTTATTATTATATGCTGAATTCCTTATTCTTTAAAGCTTCCTAGAAGTATTCATAAAGATTGCTCACACATTAAAGGTTATTTTTATGTTTATATTGTATGTTTTTGTTGATACTGTACATTTCAGTGTCTATCCAAACATAGAACACATTATGTGCTGTCCTTTCCTACATACATTGTTAAAAAACATACATGAAATTCTAAACAAAATGTTGATGGAAAAATCATTGGTTGTTTAGCTTATTGTCAAAATATTTATTATGATGAAATATCAACAATTAAATTCATAGAACTGCAGAATATATATACAATTTTAAGCAGTCAAAAAAGAAATGTCTAAAACAGGACAAAACAGTTATTTTCATCTCATTAGGTAACAAGACACATAACCCCACCTTCATAATCATTTATCTTTTTTTCAAACTTTGCTGGATTGATGTACACTGGTGGCCAAATGTATTTTGAAAGAAGTCTCTTTGATGCTCTAAAAACATTTCTTATTATCAGTGTATGTACTCCTCCATCTTTTCCACAGCATTAAGTCATATCAAAATAGCCTTTTAAAAGCCAACACAATGTTTTTGTCCACCTTTGGGAATAAATGAATTTCTCAGAAGACTGGACACAGAACTTGACTGACAACATCAGAATGTACCCTGGTCTGTATGCGTGTCCACAAACACAAATGTACTCAGTCCTTCAGTGGAGATCCCGGGTTTCAACACTATATTCAAACAGAGAGAGAGAGGAGAAAATTCCACATTAGTGTCAATTTATTTTTAACCTACATTTTTAAACCTTTTTTACTGTAAGAATATATATTTGTAAATAACAGCTTGTCAATAACATATACAAACATTTCAGCTGAACTGTAAACTAAATTATGCCAGATTTAATTTTAATACTTACATATCCTAAATTATGTCCAAAAATGCTGAGATCCATAGAGAGAAAGACTCCAATTGAGGATTTAGCCTTCAGCTTGTCTGCAGTGAAGAGGTAGCTGTTTGAGACAAAAACACACTAAGACACATGCAAGAAATCACTATGTGATGATCGTTCTCCTTCCTACTTTAGTTAACCCACCTGTGCGTTGATATTAGGTACCTTCCTGGTCATGTGGGACTGCAGTGGCACAGAGTCTTCTGCCTAATAAAAGATCAAAATAGTGCTCAAATATAAACTATAGTTTATAAACTAAAGAATGCTTGATTTAGTATGAATGAGCTGTGTAATAAACAATGTTAGGCATCATTTATTTGATATAATGTTAGCAAATTTAGATTGTAAGCTACCTGGTCTGCATCAGTGGCTCCAAAGCACTTATAACATATTGCTAATCATTTCAGCAAACTTTCAAATCATCTACAACTACCATTACTTTACACATAATAAATAAAGAGCATTGCTAGCACCATTTCTTTATTGACAAAAAGAGAGTGAAATGCAGAGTCTAAAAGTGGGGTCACATTTACCACTGCTTGGGGAAATTTTGCGTGCTAAATTCAGTCATTTGTAAAGGTGTCTTCACTCTCGGGAATTTCGTGTGAACGTGTGAAAAGATTGTCGATTTGAAATCAGTTTTCGAAGCGTTTTCGCCACGCTAACCAACAGAAAGCTGCTTGATTTACAGTAAAGTTACGTTACATGACTAGACTGCTTCAGCTAACGTTACACTATTGACAATGACCGTGTTTTGCCCACAACATTTTGCTGTGCCCGCACGTTTAAAACAGTATAAAAACAACAGCAGCAAGAAACATTGCTTTTGTTAATAAATGTAAGCAAATATGATTTCAAGTGCCGCTTACCTCAGGAATCTTGCTAGCAGTCTCCAGCTCAAACAGCTCATAACATTTGTAAGGTGTGTGGGGAAGTAACAGAATCGAGTTGCCTTTATTAGAAGTCAGTAAAATATCAAAATGATTTTGAAAATGTATATTTAAAGCTAAAAATCTTACATACAGATGATTTAAGCATACAGAAAAAACTAAAACACATTTAGTAAACTTTTAGTAACCTGTGCCTACATGTCATGACCCGTGATGCTCATGTTTTTTTTTTTCTTCAGGCAACAAGCCTTCATTAAAGAGGTGGTATTGCAGAAAGCAACTTATCGTGACTTACCGTTACTGTTATTTTGTTCATTTGTTCTGTCAGGGCGTACCATGAGCTGCCTGGAATCTGTGGTTAATTCAAAGTCCCTGGAAGTGTTCTAGTTGAGCTGCAGAAAGTGGAAATGTTGACTTTATAGGCTTTGACACAGCCTCTCTTCTCTTGTCTAACAGGAGCAGACACAGTGTCAATGCCAGTTAGCTTTCCCAGCAGTTCTTTCCTACTAGACATGAAAATGGTGGGGCGGGAGAAAGTATACAAGACATAAAATGCCTCGGAGAGAAACTGCACGATATCTTACCTCTGGGCGGCACCCATGTTGTCTAAATGAACATTCAATATATCCCATTATTAAACGATCTGTTAACTACCATTAATTATCCAACACATAATCAAAGTCATTGTCAGAGTACACCTCTAATAAGTACAATCTTTGCCTTGGCAGTGAGTTATTCACCCAATTTATTAAATAAGGATTAGCATTGAATTATGTGTAATATCCAGGAGAACTATTTAGGATATCATTGAGAGCTGGCAGTTATTTCCAGCTTCTAGAGGTGTTATGTGTCAGACTTTTGTACCTGTTTGGGAAAATCGCCTTTAAAGTTGTCCAAATGAAGTTCTTAGCAAAGCATATTACTAATCAAAAATTAAGTTTTAATATATTTACAGTAGGAAATTTACAAAATATCTTCATGGAACATGATCTTTACTTAATATCCTAATAATTTTGGGCATAAAAGAAAAATCTATATTTTGACCCATATATGTACTTTTGGCTATTGCTAGAAATATACCCCAGCGACTTAAGACTGGTTTTGTGGTCCAGGGTCACATATATATTTGCATATTCTTTTGGCATTTCTATCACAATTTCACAAACCAGGTCTATCATGAACAGTTCAGAAACCCCTGGGAAGCTCAGACTTAATGACTTTCCAATGGCCTTTCCAGTGTCCTAACAAATGTCACAGTTTGTTCTTACTCTGGTTGACAAGCTTGGCTTTTAACAATGTTGATTTTTATGCCATTAGTAGATTAATTAGCCTAAATAGTGTAAACACTGTGGCACTTTGAAAACATTGCTTTCTGTGTTTGAGTGACTCATCAGATAATATTAGTTCAATGAACTGCATAAATTGGGGGTGAGTCTGTCTGTTTATCTGACCAATGAAAGATGGGGAGAATGTTCAGAAAACCTGTTTAAACCAGTATGGTAAAACTCTCATCTTCTCTCCCAGTTCGGCTTGGTGCTGCTGGTGTCACACAACTACATACTTTACCTCGAAATGTGTCAGTATATTCAGTCTGACTTATTAAGAGTATTTAAGAATATAACTTTCCACTAAACATTAATAATGCTGGATTAACGGTGAGTCTGAGAAGTGTATTAGTCCTTAACTATGTTATTTGACCCTGAAGGTAAAAAGAAAGCAATGAATGAATAATTAAACGAATGTTTGAGATAAAGAGATGTGAGCGTGGAAGAGATACATTTCCTCTCTCAGGCTGGAAAGAGCCAGAAGCTTTGAGACAGAGATTAATCAACATCCACCCTATTACTGCACATTTTTATGGCCAACTTGTCATTTTTGTCTACTTTTGATGTATTTAACATAGATGCACTTAATTATACTGACAAATATACAGAAAAGTATATTTGGCCAATACTGGTACTTAATCTTTTGATCAAGTTATTCTTAAGAAAACATATACTGTACTTGGCCTGTAGTTGTGTTTACTCCTTTGATATAGAGACTTATTTTTTTCCACATATATTTGCTTTTTTGAGGAAGAACTCAAGTCATCCAAACGTGTATGGATTTCCAAAGCTAATAACACATAGGAAAGCTGAAAATACCAATAGTTCATTGAATATATTTTAATATGCTTAAATTATTATCTTGTTCATAGGATACACACTACACTGTAAAAAATGACCGTGGATTTAACAGTAAAAGACTGTAAAAATGCTACAGTAAAAACCTGTTAAATGGTTAATGGTAAATTCCCCTACTATATACGGTGAAAAACTGTATTGGACATTACATGTATTGGACATACATTTTTTTGGAAGTTTTTGGAAGTGAAAAATACCGTATAATTTACAGTGAATAACCGTAAATTGACATTCCCAGAATTCCCTGCGTTACATTTCAAATTTGATGTTTTTTTGTTGAAATAACTATGTTTCTTCTTAGTCTTTTCTTATCAGTTTTGTATATTAGGGTTGTGTGTTACACCTAATGTTGTTAAATGAATGTTTATTGCATTATTTCAGTTTCATGTGTGTTACCATGATGGTGTTTAGTGTTTGTGTGAATGACACTGTGCACCTTCTATATATGTTATTATTTAAAAGTTGCTTGTGATGGGCTTTGGTTCATCATGTGACTTTTTCATCACCACCTGCATTTGGCGGTTATCAGTGTGTTACAAAGGTACAAAACAGATTTCAGTACTTCAATAGATTGGTATATTAACATTATATGAGTTAATGAAATTATGGTATTTAACTGTAAATTTAAGTTAAAACCGTAAAACCTGAACCTGTTTGTTAGTATATTTTAATGGGTTTTCTGTTGTAACTATTGTTCTAAAACTCTCGTCTTTTCTTTCTTTCTTTCTTTGTCTAGAACTCCATCCGCCACAATTTGTCCCTGCACACACGTTTCATCCGTGTGCAGAATGAGGGAACTGGCAAGAGTTCCTGGTGGATGCTGAATCCTGATGGAGGGAAGCTGGGAATTGCTCCCCGTCGTAGAGCAGTCTCAGTGGACAATGGCAACAAGCACTTAAAGAGCAAAGGGCGAGTGAACCGTAAGAAAATGGCCAGGAAAGCAGAGCAGGGTACAGAGGCATTTTTGGGGTTCTGTAGCTCTCCACAGCATTGCAGTCCCACTAGGAAGTCTGGAACAGGTGGTGTGGTGGCTAGGGAGGAGTTTGAGACCTGGACAAATCTCCATTCACTAGGCAGCTCTTCAGCTTCAACTCTTAGTGGTCGTCTATCACCAATTCTAGCCGAGAGGGAATTGGGGGAACCTGAAGCAGAGAGGATATCCTGTTCGGCATCTCCACACCTGTACCCCAGTCCCTCTAGTGCCCACTCACCTGCATCCCACCGTCCTGCAGATCTCAGAGCAACAATAAGCTACCAACAGCACCAATCCCCATGTCATAAACAGCCTTCTTACCAATACGCCAGTGAAATGAAGGGCCAGGGCTCCAGTTGCGAGACAGTTTATGGCCAGCCAGATGTGGGCATGCTTCAGCACAATTCCTCCATGCAGAATATTGAGGAGAACTCCAGTAATATGCAGGCCTACAAGGGCACAAGCACTCTCCAGAATTTGCTGACCACAGGACCCCAGTTCCTTGTCAAGGACATGATACTTGGAAAAGAGAATGGAGTCCACTCAATGTTGGTTGCTCAAGGATCCAGAGATCTGCATCACAGTGAGAATAATGACCCTACCACTAACCCTTCCTCCAAACCATTTCACAGACAGAACATCATTCAGAATTTGAGCAAGGACCATCAGCCTGCATCGGTCCACTCTCAGCCCAGTGATGGACACATGCAGTCGTTCATACATAAAGCCCCATACCTATATAGCCCCACAGTCAATGCACATCTTCCAGCATCCACCACGCTTCCCCCAAACCCTGCAGGCATGCAGGGAATCTCACAGGACACCTGCCATCTTGCTACAGCTCCATACCCACAATCCCATTCCTATATTTACACAGATCCATATCAGCACAGTATGGCATATGGACTGTACTGCCAACCTCAGGGGACGGGGACAGGTTACCACAACTATCACCACCCTCATCAGTTCTACCCACACGAGCGGCTGCCAGCAGACCTGGATATGGATGTATTCTACAGCAGCCTAGACTGTGACATGGAGTCTATACTCTTACATGACATTATGGAATCGGGAGAAGAGATTGATTTAAATTTTGATTCCTCACTGGTTCAAGGAATGGGCATGGGATTTGGATTTATGGGTACACAACAGAGCCACAGCAAACAGAGCTGGGTTCCTGGATAAATGCCACAGAATCATCAAAGAATGTTTTCTTAAGACATTACTACCTACAGTACATGCAAGCCAGCCAGCAGTGGAGTCCCAACACTCCATCACAATTCAGGGTGAATACACTGTGCTGACACTGAAATGAAATCAAGAGAGAAATCTCTCTTTTGAAAACTGACTTTGAATTCATGCTGTCTGTTTCTTACTGCTTGTATGTCCATGCTCTATGTTGTGTGTCCATGTATTGAAAACTACTCTGTTACACTTTGTTCCATTTGCTGTGAGTGAAACTCCTTTAGTTTTGCTGACTGAACCATGATGACAATCTAAGCTGTTACCCAACACTGTTTTGTTCTTCAGTCAAAACTATCTTGTGCACTTTAACTACATCAAGCAAATCAAGGAATGCTTGGGACTCAAGTGTAGCAAAACCTGGACACGTACCAATTTTAGTAAACAATTCCTCATGGGTGCTACATACTGCCATGTGTATATGGAGTTTCAGTGATTACACATTCTCATTCTCCATCCCAAACGTGTCTCTACTTTCATATTTTGAAAAATGTGTGACATATATTTATTTATATATCACAATTGAACATTTACTCATGCAGTATATACACATATGGAAATATATGTTTCTTATGTTTAACAAACATATAAAACATACATGTTTCATATTTTAAATTATAGCTAGTTTACAATAGCATAAGCACACCTGCTCATACTTTGCACCTGGTGAATAGATCAGTGTGCTGAAAAGTGCACAGCCATTGCTTTTTAAACAAAGCAACATATATTCTTAATAGTGTTTGGCCAATCGTCATCCTAACCACAGGCTCTACGCTTCAGCACAATGGTAACCCCACAAACTTAAACATACCAGATACCCTTTTAAATCTCAAAATAATACAACATTAAACTAACACATCTCCCCCATAATAATATTGATCAAAAACACATTAAATTACATTTAATTTTAATAAGGATCAAACTTTATGAATATTAGATGTATTTTTGTCTTCATTTCTAAATATATTTGTATGCATCAATATATAGCCATACATTGTCAATGCATATATTACTGTATATTGAAAAATATACACACTAGTTTCCCATATAGGCTATGGAAATGTTTAATGTCAAGTCAAGTCACTTTTATTTATATAGTCCTTTATACAATACGGATTGTGTCAAAGCAGCTTTACAGTTTTAAAAAGGAAAATCATGTGTTGATAATGCAAGAAGACAATACAAAACAGTCAGTTTATCAGTTAAAATCAGTTCATTGTTGATTCAGTGATGTCATCATCCAGCTCAGTCCAGTTCCCTTCCAATAGTGTCTGTGCAATCAAGTCAACAATGTTGCCAGAAATTATGCCCCCAACTAAGCAAACCAAAGGCGACAGTGGCAAGGAACCAAAACTCCATCGGTGACAGAAATGGAGAGAAAAAACCTTGCGAGAAACCAGGCTCAATCGGGGGCCCAGTTTTCCTCTGGCCAGAGGAAACCAGCATGGTGTGGTTTAATTCCAGGCTGCAACACAAGTCAGACTGAGCAGTAGGGCTGCACGATAAATCGAAATGGAATAGAAATTGCGATTCGACAGAAGCTGCGATTGTCATGCGTATCTTTCAGTGAAGCACGGTTCTGTGATCAGCAGTAAATCTCCATCCAAAGGCCAGAGGGCGCTCTCACTCTGAAACTCCAAATACGCCTCGCAGAAGAAACCCAGAAAATGCCTATCGCTGCAGCTGAATAAACAGAAGATTCAACTGCTTTCATTGATTCAACGTGACTAATAAACACACGATTTTCACAATATATGGTTTATCGGAGTTATTATTATTATAATTTTCATTAAAATAAAGTATATTTATAATGCAATGCCTTTATCACTGCTTAGAATGCTATGAAATATGTTGCATGCCATATGTAAGAAGCCACATCATCTCACAGAAGGATTTATTTCAAACACTCGACTGACATTATGAAGTGAGTTTGGAGTAAAAATATGTTATTAAATGTGGTATTTTGACATGCTTTCAGATGGAGCAGCATTTACTACACAGAGCCGTAGTTCACCAAGAAGCTATGCAAACAGCTGTCATAATCGCAAACGATTTCTTCGATTTCATAATCGCGCATTAAAATCGTCTGCGATTTTTTTTTACGTAACTTGTCAGTGATCTACGGCTCTGAGCAGTAAATGTTGCTCCATCTGAAAGCATGTGATGATGATTTCCTGCTGATTACAGAACCGGCTTTACTAACAAAATGCGCATGACAATCGCATTCGATTAATCGTGCAACCCTACTGTGCAGAGGACTCGTCTGGTTCTCGTGGTCTTGTGCCAATGGCCGATGAGGTCTTCACAGGAGATCTGTCTCTAGGGTTCGTCTAGTTGACATGGTCTCTGCTGACATTCAGGGCTGTAGAGGTCATCTCTAGGTATGTAATATATCACATTATATTTTTCAGTATATTTTTGTTATGTAAGGGTTTAGTATGTGTTAGTGTGTGGAATTGTGTCCTTTTATCCAGACAGCAGTCCAATCTTATTCACTGTTATTATCCACAATCAACAGCCCCTTAGTGCTAGAAAAAGAGAGACAGAGTAAGAGGGCAGTTCTTCTGATTCAGCGTAGAAATCAGTTCATGCTTCCTGATGACAAGTACAAGAAACAACTAAAACCATGTGAACTGTCTACTGTCTACATAGGCGATTTTCGTCACCACTGACTTCCCAATGCACAAAAAAAGTCAAGTCACCTTTATTTTTATAACACTTTATACAATACTGATTGTGTCAAAGCAGCTTTACAGTGTCAAATGGGAAAATAGTTTGTCAATAATACTAGAGGACAATAATAGAGTAATTTTTCCAGCTAAAGTCAGTTCATTGATGGTTCAGTGATGTCATCATCCAGTTCAGTTCTCTGTGCAATCAGTCAAGTGTCCCCAACTAAGCAAGCCAAAGGCTACAGTGCCAAGGAACCAAAACTCCATCGGTGACAGAAATGGAGAAAAAACCTTGGGAGAAACCAGGTTCAGTCGGGGGGCCAGTGCTCCTCTGGCCAGATGAAACAAGCATGGTGTGGTTTAATTCCAGGCTGCAACACAGGTGCAGAGGACTCGTCTGGTTCCCATGGTCTTGTGCCGATGGTTGTCGAGGTGATGAGGTCTACGCAGGGGATTTGTCTCTGGGGCGCATCTAATTGACATGGACTCCACTGACATTCAGGGCTGTAGAGGTCGTCTCTAGGTGCTGATCCACCATCTGGTCTGGATATGGACTGGATCTGGGTGGCTACGGTGACCATCTGATCTGGATACAGACTGTATCCGTACGGCTACAGTGACCTCAGACAGAATAAGAATGAAAGAGACTAATATTAGCGTAGATGCCATTCTTCTTAAGATGTAACGAGTACATCGGGTGTTATGGGAAGTGTTCCCGGTTCTGGTTGACCTAATTAATGCAGCCTAACAATCCTTTAACAGATTTGAATTATAGAAATATGATAGTGTATTATGTGTATGCCAAGTTAAAGAGATGGGTCTTTAATCCAGATTTAAACTGACAGAGTGTGTGTCTGCCTCCCGAACAAAGCTAGCTAGATTGTTCCAGAGTTTGGGTGCTAAATAGGAAATGGATCTGCCGCCCACAGTTGATTTTGATATTCTAGGTATTATCAAATGGCTAGAGTTTTGAGATTGCAGCGGACGTAAAGGACTATAATGCAATATGAGCTCGCTCAAGTATTGAGGAGCTAAACCATTCAGGGCTTTATAAGTAATTAGCAAGATTTTAAAATGTATTCGTTGTTCAATAGGGAGCCTGTAAAGAGTTGACAGAACCGGGCTAATATGGTCGTACTTCCTGGTTCTAGTAAGAACTCTAGCTGCTGCATTTTGGACCAGCTGGAGTTTGTTTAGCGTACAGAGCAACCACCCTATAAAGCATTACAATAATCTAACCTTGAGGTCACGAACGCATGAATGAATGTTTCTGCATTTGACATTGAGAGCATAGGTCATAATTTAGATATATTTTTAAAATGGAAAAATGTGTTTTTACAAATGCTAGAAACATGGTTTTCAAAGGAAAGATTGCAATCAAATAGCACACCTAGGTTCCTTTCTGATGACAAGGAATTAACAGAGCAGCCATCAAGTGTTAGACAGTGTTTTAGGTTATTACATGCGGGGGTTTTGGTCCAATAATTAAAACCTCTGTTTGTTTGTTTTTTCAGAATTTAGCGGTAGGAAATTACTAGTCATCCAGTTTTTTTTATATCAACTATGCATTCCATTAGTTTTACAAATTTGTAAATTTCATCAGGCTGCAAAGAAATATAGCTGAGTATCATCAGCATAACAGTGAAAGGTAACACCATGTTTCTTGATGATATCTTAACATGTAAAGTGTGAAAAGCAATGGCCCTAGTACTGAGCCTTTTGGCACTCCATACTGTACTTGTCATCGATATGATATCTCGTCATTTACTGCTACGAATTGACGACGGTCAGATAAGTATGATTTGAACCATGACAATGCAATTTCACTAATGCCAACATAATTTAGTAGTCTACTCAAAAGAATGTTGTTGTCGCTAGTGTCAAATGCAGCACTAAGATCCAGTAGCACTAATAGAGAAATACAACCACGATCGGATGATAAGAGCAGGTAATTTGTAACTCTGATGAGAGCAGTCTCTGTAATATGATATGGTCTAAATCCTGACTGGAAATCCTCGGAGATACCATTTCTCTCTAAGAAGGAACATAGCTGAGAGGATACTGCCTTTTCTAGTATTTTGGACAGAAAAGGGAGATTTAAGATCGTTCTGTAATTAACTAATTCTCTAGGATCAAGCTGTGTTGTTTATTTATTTTCTACGAGAGGCTTAATAACAGTCAATTTGAAGGTTTTAGGGGTGTGTGTGTGTGTGTGTGCGTGTGTGTTTGTTTTACTTTCTTCTCAATGTCCAGATATGTGAACATATTTTTTTGGTTACTCAATTTAATATTGCTTTTGTGCAACTTATTTTCAAAGAACTAAAAAGACAAATTTCAGTAGAAGAACTTGAGGCATAGACAACGTTTTTTCAAAAGTGGGAAATGTCCTAGACCTGATGGGGTCCCAATTGAAAAGTATCAATTTCCTTACGTACAAGCTTGTTGATCCCTGACTGTAAGTTTTTGCCAAAATTACTGGCTTTACATTAAGAATTTTCCCTTTATACTTCAAGATTTAAAAAAAAAAAAGTATTTGCAACAAATTTGGTTTTCCATTTACAAAGGAATTCATTTTGGATTAAGCTGCTCTGGTCATCGCATCAAGATTCACATAAAATA